CTATCGAGCTCATGGGGATATAATGGAGTTCACTCTGGATCTTGGGCTTCTTTGGGCCGAACACGGTGCATTCCCCCCCAGCTCTGGTCATTTTTTGCGATAGCCAGCCGGCTGTCAACATATCCTTGGGTTTGGAGGTCCCGTCGGAGAACCTGCACCTGGCCTGGCTTGCATCTCATGTATACCAGTGTGCGCGCAGGAGGCACGGTACTATGCTTTTACATGTATGCGGTCACTCTGGACACCCATGGAATGAGTTGGCAGACAGTCTAGCACGGTCGGACCGAGCGGTTGGGTGCACACCCCCGCCGGCCTTGCGCGAGGCCCTCAGGTACACGAACGACCTTGAGTGGTGGTGGCTTAAAGAGGCACCTGGGGCCACACGCGAAGCCTATCCAATAGGCCCTGACAACTCCTTTCGGTATCCTGGGCGCCCTCAAGTGTCGGTGGAGACGCTAAGTGAGACTGTTGGATCCCAACCCTCACAGAAGTCGGCCCCCAAGTCCTGTCAGTTTAGCATCAGCGCGAGGCTCGCCACCTTCAACGTCAAGACAGGAAGGGATGCGGAGGCCACGGCGGCAAGACGCGCCAAAACGTCGGGCGAGGTTCTCAGAACGCAGTTTGCACAGGAGCATTGCCACATCGTCGGGGTCCAGGAGGCGCGAAATCCGTCGGGGGAAAGGTGCTCTGCTGGATACTTTGTGGTTTCTTCGGGATCTGATGGCGGCAAGAACTTGGGCGCGGAACTCTGGGTCTCTTTGCACCTACCCTACGGGCGACGAGGGGGTGAGGATCTTTACTTTGAACAGAAACATTTTAGGCCGCTGTACGCTACCCAGGGGCACTTGGCGGCTGGCTGTTGTGCCCCACTCTTTAGGAAGGTCATCTTGGTAGCCCACGCGCTGCACAACGGAGACGAATACACCTCGCAGCAGAGGAAACAGTGGTGGCGGGACCTCATTGGGATCTGCCGCAAATGGAAAGTCCAGCTGGCTTTCCTGGACGCGAATGCCAGACTTGGCAGCATCGTGTCGGGCGCAGTGGGAAGGGGAGAATTCAGGCAGGACGAGGACGAATCGGGTGGACTGTTCCACGACATGCTCTTGGAGACGGGTTTGGCCGCCGCCAACACACTCGTCCCCTCCCTCCTCGGCCAGGACTCTTACACGTTCGTCTCGTCCAAATCTGAAACACCACATAGAATAGACTATATAGCGGTTGAGCAGAACATGATTCCCGCATTGGACCAACACCAAGTTCGACATTACATTGGTTCCTTCTGCACTGGCAAAGATCATTATCCTGTCTTCATGCGCTTCGGGTCCCAGGGCTCCACCAAGGCAGCGCAAGGGCAGAGGGGTTTCGACGTTTCGGGCACCCAGGGCCCTGATAAGGCAGCAGCTTTCAGGACGCACTTGGCAGATTTCCCCGCGGTGCCCCGCCAGGTCGACATGCATCAGCTCTTGCACGACATTATCCAATACATGTACGTGGGTGCCCAAACTTGCTTCCCTAAACCCGCGCGAATCCCGATCATGCCGCACGCATCAGAGGATCTTCTTGGGGTCATTACCTCCAGAAGGCAGGTGCGACGGGAATGGCGTCTCTGGGGCAAGTATGACTCTGGTGGTGTTAGGAGGCTGGTCGCCGCGTCGCTTGAGGTGGGGGCCCCCCAGAGCACCGCTGATCTAGAGTTGGACTTCTTGATTTCGGAACTTTTTCAGGCTTTCGCCGATGGGGTAACTCACTCAGAGGGTGACGGCAAGCGAGCTAGCTGCGCACATGCTTGAGTTCCTGGTCAAGTCGAAGCCGGCCCTGAGAAGGGCCCTGAGGCACTCCCGCAACAAGCTGTTAGATGACCTCGCGCAGCAGATGAGCAGCGCCCGGTCCTCACCAGAGTCGAGTCGAATGGAAGGTACTATGCCAGCTGCAAAGGTTTGGGGGACATCGTTCCAGGTTTCAGTTCGAGGGGCTGAGAATCCGACAAGGTCCTCAGGGCGAAGTTCTGGCCACATCTGGAGATCTCTCGGAGGCCATCACTGACTACTTTGCTGTTGTTGAGAACGGCCAGACACTCAGCTGGGAAGAATTAGTGGAAAGATACAACGCCCTCCCCGAACGTGGTAACGTTTACCCCAGGGAGTTGGACATGATCACCCCCTTTCGCAGACTCAAGCATGACATCATGAAGGCAGCCAAGAGGAGAGGAGCTGGACCTGGCGGACTCTGCAACGATCTTTTCCAGGTCGCTCCACAAGAGTGCACGCAGATCTGGCTGCCATTGTTCGTGAAGATAGACATGGCGTCCAGGGAGCCCCTGCTGTTCAAAGGAGGTTGGCAATGCGATCTACACAAAATCTGGATCCCCCGAACCCCTGGAACACTACAGAGGCATCCTGCTAGGATGTCACACGGCGAAGCTGCACCATGCATTCCTCAGAAGCAAATTGCTAGATGCATCGATGCACATGCTGTCGGTGGTCCAGCAATGAGCTCTCCCTCAGCGTGGCACTGACACTGCAGCCTTGCATCTTCGGTCGGCCATGATGGCAGCCAAGACTAAGAAGCGCACATACCTGTCGTTGTACACTGATCTAAAGGCGGCATTCTATTCGGTCATCCGAGGGCTCGTTGCCAGAATGGCCCAGAACAGCGAGGACATTCAGAACACGTTGACGGACTTGGAGATACCAGGCTGTCTAGAGCCACTGTGCCATGCCCTTGTCGCCAAGCCTGGCGCCCTGGACGGTCTTGCAAACAAGCGCCTCCTGGAAGCAGTGGTAGACGCAATGGAATGCAACTGGTTCCAGGTTCGGGGGAGCGCCAGGGTTGTTTCCCCCCGCCTAGGTACGAGGCCAGGCATGCCACTAGCGGACCTCCTGTTCATCATAGCCTTCGACCCAATCATAGTCGCGGTCAACAGTAGATTGGGAGCACTGGGGTATCTTCAGAAGACCTAGGGATGTGGACCCGTCTCAGAGGATTTTCAGAGGTCGCGAGCACGAACATGTAGAGGAAGATGCATGGGGTCCTGCCTTCATGGGTGACCTCGTCAACGGCATCGAGCTGTTAGACGCTAGGCTCTGGAAGGAGGCGGCCACCTCCCTCGTCGCGATTATGTGCGAAGAAACCAAGTCTAGGGGGGTCACCATGAACTGGAAGGCGGGCAAGACGGAGCCCATGGCCTTCTTCAGCGGCACAGGATCCAGGAAGGCCCGAGGGGAGTGTGCGGCCTTGGCCGCCACTGGTCTTCTCGCCCCTTCCTTAGGTGTCTCCCTGTACAGGACGGGTGGCGGAGGTGTTGCATCTCCAAGGGTCTTGCGCTCCCGCCGTTTCTGCGTCCGCCGTCTGCCCTTGCCTTGTATCCCTGCCTGGATTGTGGGGCGGTGTTGGCCACCAAGGGCGCATGGGCCTCCCATCGCTCGAAGTGCCAACCCACTTAGACCCCGCTCCCAGCTATGTTTCAGGCACCGTGTGCATGGCATGCGGTCTCAACTTCCACACGCACCTCAGATTGCTCAAACGCGTTCGGCATGGCTCGTCGAGGTGCTTGGCGGACCTAATGGCCGTCATCCCCCCCGTTGAGCCCCGAACAGGTGCTGCTGGCTAAAGCGGAGGACGCGGAGCTAGCGCGCGCGCTCCGAGAGAAAGGCCACTATGCGGAGTCAGCGCAGCTGCCGCCTGTCCTCACGGTGGGCCCTAGGCTGAGGGGAGCGGCTGCCTCCAAGGGCCTTCCCTCTAGCATGCCAAGAATATCCTGTCAGCCCGTGTGTATCCAAGAAGAGATACCCACTCAGGCGACGGTCCACCTGTCCGCGGCCCCTGGCACTAAGTACATTATGATCCTCCGTACAGCTCCCAGGTGTCAAGGTGACATCCAGGATAGAGCGGAGAAGTCCAGTGCCACGGTGGGCATGAATGTTTTTGTTCTGTCACTAAACATCCTCGAACTTTTCCAGAATTACGTCGAGGGATTTCACAAGGAGCTGTTGTTCATTACCGATCTTATTCTCTCTGGGCGTGTTGTTGGTCTCTTGGCAGACCTTCCTCTTTCCTCGTGGGACCCTGCCCCCCGCTGCAAAGCCAAGGGTGGAGAAAGCAGGCCTTTAAGGAGCTGCGATGAGCCGTGGGGAATTTCAGCCAGGTCGTCCTCGGAGTGGAGGCAAGTGGAGCTCGACAGTGATTGCCTTCGGGCGGCACTGACGCTGGCGCTGTGTGCGGCGTCCTCGGGCCTGGCGACCTTGCTCACTTTAAACCCACCTGCTCCGCAAGCCAACTTGCCCTGTATTTGGAAAGTCCCCGAGGTCAGGTTTCTGTGCTCCCTGCAGGCAACGTCGCCGACAATCACGGCGAGCTGTGTGCCCATTGGGGACCGTCAGTGCCTATGCATGAATGCCGTGCCGACCCTGGCCCTCCCTGACAGCAGCCAGGCTGAGTTCTACCTGGCTGCTGTTATCACGCAGGCAGCCTCACAACGCTGTGCCCCCACGCCCCCTGGGGATGCATGGCTAGAGGCGTCACCTGCTCATCTCTATGCCCCGCTCGATATGTATTGCGAGTCGGGTTGATGCTGGCCATTGCTGCTCTCCTCGTCCCCCGCTATACTTGCCGCCTATCTCACCGCTGACGTATGCATGTGTGGACACCTCAGACGTTGGTCCTCAGGGCTGTGGGAAGAAGGAGGAGGGAGGAAGGGTTTTAAAGCGTGTAAGATGGAGAAGGGAGGATGAGAGGGAGGAGGAGGAGGAGGGGGAGGAGGAGGTAGAGGAGGAGGAGGAGGAGGAGGAGGAGGAGGAGGAGGAGGAGGAGGGGCAGGAGGAGGAGGAGGAGGAGGAGGAGGAGGAGAAGGGGGAGGAGGAGGAGGAGGAGGAGGAGGAGGAGGAGGAGAAGGAGGGGGAGGAGGAAGAGGAGGAGGAGGAAGAGGAGGAGGAGGAGGAGGAAGCGGAGGAGGAGAAAGAAAAGGCGAAGGAGAAGAAGGAAACCACCGGGCGCGCCCCCGC